TTATTAAACTTATTAAACTTAAAATTTAACAGCTAAGTTACGAAATCTGACTTTGCACTAACAATTATTTTTACATAAAGAATAAGATAAAATCACGTACTGTCTTCTAATAAATATCAAGATATTTCGATTTCAAAAATACCTAATACCTAATATACATTATCAGCGTACGACCAGCGCATCATCTATTGAATAAAGATAACTAACGAAAAGTAATGATAATAAACGATAATAAGTAAGGTAACTAAAATAATGATAATAAATAATAATAAGTAAGATAATAAAAATAACAGTTGACTTCATTATTGTTATTGTAAAAATGTAACAACGTTATCGTTACCCTTACAAACAGAAAAAAGCAATAATCGTTATCGAAAAAAGTAATGATGAAGGTAATGGCGTTATAAGTAACGCATTACTTCCCAACTCTGAATATCTTCAAGACTTTATAAAGACATCTTAAAGTCATCTATTACAAGACATTTTTAAGAGTATATATAACAACATTGCCGAGACTATAACAGTTAGACATATGCGTTGATATAACAAATATCAAAACATACATCTCAGCTTTGTAAACAACATGTTATGTACGGAAAATTTCAGAGAAAATATTTAATAAACTTATTAGACGCTAATTAAATAGTGAACTTTTGCTCATGTGACTTGGTCAGATTTTCTTTTAGTTACTATGTTGAATTATAGTTTTCTTCTATATATGGTAAAAACATTTTTTTATTTGTTGCAGTTGATATATCTAAAAATTTTTATGCTAAATTTTTAACATATTCGTTAATTTGATATATTATTATTTTATTTTGTCTATCCTAATTGAATTACCATTTCTAGGGGTGTTAACAAAATACAATTTATATGTCAATTTTTGTGATATATTTTATATGTAAAGTGTTATGTTATAAATTTGAGATAAGTCATGTTATAAATTATGTTATAAGTTTAAGATAATCATCTTATTTGTTTACATATCTGCCTTGTTTTGTTAAATTAATGCAAAAGTTAAAATAGATAAATTGAGACGCGTAAAATGTGTCAAATTGTTAACACAAAATGTTTTGCAGTGTAAAAATGATTCTTTAAGGCATTCGAGCGGGCAGTTATTATCAATATCCAATTTGAATTTGAGCAAGATGTATAAACAAAAAATGCGTGGATTAATTATAATTCTTTACCGATCGCACACAGTACACAATAAACTATAATAAATAAAATATATTCTTTCTTTTCTAATGTCTGAATTATTTTATGAACTTATACGAATATCATGTATATAGAGAAATTTGGGGCATAATAGAGTATCGTCGCGATAAGTTTTCTAAGATGTACTGTCAATGAAACGTTTTGCAATTATTATTCTCAGATATATTTAATTACACATTATTATCAGTCGTCAAAAAGATGTTCTGTTAAAAGATGCTAGATATTGTTTTATGTGTGTTGTGTCCTCCACAACTGCATTAAAATTTGATACCTTTGCATAAATCAACCAATTACAAAATTCTGTTTTTAATATACCGTGTGTACATCTACGTATTAAACGTTTTTTTTTTGTCATTTTAATTAAATAGCTGTGCAAATATCGACTATAATGTTTTATACTACATAAAAACTTATACATTTTGAAGCATAACTGAGATTATGTTTTTAAAATATTAAGTTATAATATATTTTCCCCAACTGTCTCGATGTCGAATATTTTTACAACTAAATTTACAAGCTTGAAAATATACGAAAAGTTTGCAGAAATATACATATATATATTTTATGTATATACTATATTTATGTATATTATATTGTGTACTATATTTATGTATATTATATTATGTATACTATATTTATGTATATTTTATGTATATACTACATACATATTTTCTTTTATGAATAGTAAAACGAAATAGTATACATTTATAATAAATTTATATGTACAAGAGATACAAATAAGCATATTCAAATCTCCAATATCTCCACATCTTAAATCAGAACACAATATATCTACCTAATAGGTTTGTGAGACACTTTCGGAATTTAAAGACGACATAATGTTGCTTGAGAAATTTTCACTCACCAATTCTCGTCGTATTATTATTAACAACGTTTAAAATACTCAATCCAATTATATACTAATATAATTTTTCTATATAACAAATCGGAATATGCATGTCATTTTCTTTAATTGATGTGTCTATTTGTTACATAACACAATCCGACTTTTCAAATTTTATTTTGTAATTTTATTCAATTTTCATTCGCGTCTGTCGACGGTTATCTTTGATATTCCACATCATCCATCTTCCCCAACTGTCTCGATGTCGAATATTCCGATTACGCAACGCGTATCATCGGCCTTGGACAAATTCTTCACAAGATGTAAGAGGATGAATTCGAAAGGACTCACAACTAACGAATCACAACTAATGCACACGTGGCGTGTGTGTATATACAGACTGTCCCATATGTCCCGGTCCGACTGAATATCTCGGAAAGTACGCACTTTTGAGAAAAATATTTCAGACAAAAGTTGCAATATATAAAGTGATACATTTAGTGATGTTAGCAGTTTGACTTTGGATCAACCAAAGTCGCCCTAGGCATCACCAAGGTCAGGTCAAAATCAATTTTGTTTTTTAAGTAGAAATATGTATTTTTATTAAAAAATTTTATTTTATGTAAATAAACAAACAACTTTTGTTTGAAAAAAATTTTTATACAACCTCTATTTTTTAAGATATTTGCGGAAATATCTACAAAATTATTGGTTTCAATAATTTCTTATATGAATTCTATCAACTTCACCGAAAAATGGCGAGAGATAAAAATTGTTTATTTTTATCTCATAGAGCAGAATCTCTTTCAGAGAATTTTTTCAGAATTTTTTATTAACTATTTAGTACTGCATTTTCTTGCATTTTCTTGAAGTATTAAAAAGTTAATAAAAAACTCTGAAAAAATTCTTGAAGTTCTATGAGACAAAACTTAGTAATTTTTATCTCTTGCTATTTTTTGGTAAAGTTAATAGAATTCGAGTAAGAAATTATTGAAACCAATAATTGTGTAGATATTTCCGCAAATATCTTAAAAAATAGAGGTTATATAAAAAAATTTTTTCAAATAAAAGTTGTTTGTTTCTTTACGTACAATAAAATTTCGTAATAAAAAAAATACATGTTTCTATTTGAAAAAGAAAAGTTGACTTTGACTTGACCTTGGCGACGCCGCCCAAGGTCAAACTGCTAACATCACTAAATACATTGCTTTATATGTTGCAACTTTTGTCTGAAATATTTTTCTCAAAAGTGCATACTTTCTGAGATATTTAGCCGTTCCGGGACATATGGGATACCCTGTATATATAGGAATCTGTATATCCGCCAGCGAAAACTTTCCACCCTGATTATTTTGTAACCAACTGATTATTGTAAAAAATACTGGTATATATCAGTATTGTTTTCAAATGAGTTGTATGATATTGAGTTTGTAGAATATCAAGCCATACACGTTTATTTAGACTTTATTTCAAGTGCTTCGAATTTCTATAAAATAACATCAAAAATTATAAATGCTACAAATAAATTTATTTTCACTTATTATATTAATAAAATTATTCTAACATCATAACGTGTTATAATGTTTCATAATTTAATATGGAATTTAATAAAAAAAAAACATGGAATATAAGATAGAAGATATCAGATTTCATAAGAAATATGAAATATTATAACTAATTTATAACACAAATCCTAATGTTATGAAAATCTTCATTATTATTAATTTTAATATCAAATTCTTAAATTTACTTACAAAAATGCTATTATTTTTAAGAACTTTATAACAGTGTAGTTAAATTTATCACAATCATACAGTGTCTTTGAAAATAATATTAACGTATATCGCCATTTTTGACAAAATCAATTAGTTACAGAGTAATCAGAGTGGAAAGTTTTCATTAAAGGATCCTGTATATATAGGATGTTTCAGACTTTCTTCTTCAATTTTTATGGAAACGTAGAAAGGATTAAAATAAACATAAAAGTTCATTCTATTTTGCGATATTCGCAATAAACCTCGAGATATTAATTAAAGAAGATTGGTAAATCATCAAAATCACGCGCATTATGATAGATAAAAGTCTTATACCGTTTAGTGGTATTCGCAAAAATTATGGAGATATTAATTAAACAAGATTTATGAATAATCACGTGAGATATGGTAGATAAGCTGTAGTAACGACGTTTGCCATCATGTGCTTGAACATTAGGTTAAACTGAAGAAAAAAATCCTCTGCTATTTTCTTAACAACTGTTAGATTTTTAATTATTGTTACTGTAAATTATGTATTACTGTAGATTTTTAATTATTAATTAAAGAAGATTAGCGAATGATCGCTCGCGATCATATAAATATATTAATGTTCTTTAATTAATAACTAAAAATTTACAAAGTTATTAAAAAAAAAGTAGAGGATGTTTTGTTCAATTTGACCTAATGTATAAGTATACAACAGCAGATGGTGCCATTACAACTCATCTATCATATCACGTGTGATCTTTAATAATATTTTCTTAATTAATATCTCGAAATTTATTGTAAATATCGCAAAACCGTATGAGACTTTTATGTTCACTTCAATCCGTTCTACGTTTTCACGAACATTGCGGAGATGGATTTGGGACAACTTGTGTGTATGTGTGTGTGTGTGTATGTGTGTCGGCGTTTGCGCGTGCATGTATGTGTGTATGTAACATTTTTTATTATAGAAATTATTCTATTCACGAAGGAGGAAGATCTATATCGACATTAAATGCCAGCTCACGTTTTATTATCTAACGTCCCGCAATAAAGCATGTATCAATCATTATTGCGAAGATAGAAAGAATATTTGTTAAAATCTATTATTCGCTTCTCTCTCTCTCTCTTCTCTCCCTCCTTCCTTAGTCATTTGTCGCGATTATTTTAATGTTTTATAACTGAAGATATACACATACCCCTATGTGTTGACCATCGACGAAGAGCTGCGGTAATGTTACAACTTCCGAGTCGGTACGATCCCTAAGTTCGGTTTGCAATTCCGTGTCACGGAATAAGTCCGCTTCCTCATATTTGACCATATTTGTCCAGAGCATTTGCTTCATCTTCATGCAATTGGTAAAGGTTTCCCTAACGATGCCCAACGACGTCGTGTAAAGCACCACTCTACCCTTTTCCCTTTCCACGTAAGCCTGAAACAATACGTAACATATCACCAAAAATAGTAACAAGTTTCGCGTAAATCTCATTTTATTGAATAAAACATAAATCCCATCGTTCGAAATTTATGATAGTGTAATAGCGGGACAATGATTCCTATATCCGATAAGAACACAATCACGCGTACGTGATCGTGTTGTTATTGATAAATTAATAGAGCTCTGAAGTCAACGATAAACACGAGACAGCGATTTTTTCCTTTTTATCGGCGATCGATTCTTGGATAAACACCAAACGACAATTTTAGCATGAAAGAGTTCTCTTTATGGTTCAGCAATTCAATCACAGGCTGCACAATTTCCGATTCTTGCTCAGCAATGCGTATATTCTTGCCAGTTATTCCTTTAATATAATCAATTTTATTAGGGCGTGCCTAACCGTCGGACTATATGCATAGGCTATTGTATATGCTCGACAGGGAATTTCATTAATTTGCTATGGAATATTCATAACTGTAACATGTAAATTTTCATCACGCTTTGCGCAATTAAATCTTTGCATATTGTGTACATTATACGTTGAGACTGTTTTGCATGCCAAAATTACGTCTCCTTACCCGATGAAAATGATATTCTCATTAAAAGATGATATGTCTCGCTAATTTAAGAATTGTGATTACCGAAAAAGTAATCATCGAAGATTCGCTTAATAAAGTATATTTTTGACGTAAAATATATTTTAAACGTACTTTTCGGTATTTTAAGTGCTTTGCCTAAAATTATTTGCTTTTTGTATAGACATGTACAAATTGTTAAACTGAAATCAATATTTTTAGTTCTCCTTATTAACTTTGTAGAATTCCATTTTATTTCAGATTAAAATGATTTTTTCTAAAATTTTGTTTCACTTATGTTGGTTATGTGTGTTCAGACAGTATACGCCGTGTCAACTTCTAGTTTTCACGTCATTATTTCGACACAACGGTTTTTACGTATATCACCTTCACGTATTCGCAAGAATCTGACCGGAAAAGAAGAAGGCCAAGACAAAAGCGCCACACACCCGGATATGACTATTGTCACCTATTAGAATAATTATCTATAATTCGCACATCGATTGCGTTGATCCTATTTCGATATAGTGCGCACTTTAACAACTTAGAATTATTTATTCTCAATGAAAATTTAATTCATATAAAACTTAGGAAATTTTTTCCATTAATTATTCTTGTTGACAACACTAGTATTAAAATCAACTGTTGTCGTTGACATATCTTCTAATTATTGCTCTCTTTATTGTAATGTTTTAAATTTTTTTATATTAATTTTCTTTATAGTAAATATACTTATTTTTTTAATCATTTGTCGATTATAAGATAGGTAAGACTTATTTAGGTTTAATTTAAACGCATTGGTACAAATTTAGCACCAGAAGAAATCAAGAATAAGTATGAAACTCCGATTGAAAATATATCGAAAAGAATTAAAATGGTAATATATAAGAGAAAAGAAAATTATATAAGATAAGGTATTAAGATATTGTAAATAAATAAAGAGATATATTTCAATAAAAAATATAATTTCTCATTTATTTTATCTTCAAGTCAATAATTTGTATATATTTGTATAATATAATATAATATATGTTTAGCACATTTTTTAATTAAATCACGAAATATTGCGAAAAAGATGAAGAGAAAGAAAAGTACAGCGATAAATCTACATTTAAGAATACAATATCTACACATAATGAGAAAGAACAATTTATTAGGTATACAAATTAATTCGGTGCTTTTTTCTTGGAAAAATGAAAACTTATTTACAAAGATAATATTATATTTTCAATTATCAAAATAATTTCCATTATTTTCAATGATTACGCTATCTTTCGAGCAATTGAATTTAATTTCGATACAGCTCAAATAGGAATCACCAATGTTAATTAATTTGTTAATGGTCCAAACCTAGACCAAACATGAGCCAAACAGTCCAGTCTTGGGTGAAACTGGGGCGCAAGGTCCAAGTTTAGCTGAGCGAACATGTCGAAGTTTGGCTGTACCACGGCTATATTGCGCCAAACTCGAGCGCAAATTTAAACAGCAATGTAGCTGCCATAGTGCAGCCAAACTTCGGCATTTCTGCTTAACCAAAGTTAAACTAAAGTACGATACTCAATGTTATAATCTCAAAGTCTCATGGACGAATTCTTCAATTACAATTTTAACTTTTTATGAGTTAACTCTAGAAAAATAGATATATATGATCGGTAACTCGAAAAATAACATTATATAAACATTAGTCTGAAGTAATTATGTGAAAACAGTCACCAATGCACCAATGTTTCACATCACTGCTCTGCAGTTGATCACACATAGACGCACTACTTATCACAGGAGCTAATCAAAAGTATCAATGGTATTACTGACATTTTTGTCTATCGTGACAAGCGTCGTGTCTGCTTGTGATTGGTTTGTAACTAATATAAAACAACATTAATAATTATTTAAATACTTTTGACATTAATTATAAACTTATGTACAATAATAATGAGCAAACAAATATTGGTGTCAAAATCGTATTATAAGGTGAAAATCACGTTTTTTAAAAAGCAAATTGAAATTTTAAAATAACGATAATGATACAAAGAAAACAGTTGTCTTAAAACTTTTGCAGTAAAAAATATATATATACAGAGAAAAAGGTTTCTCTAGATTTTGTATTTCTATTTGTTTGACTGAAGTTTATCTCATTGAAATAACATATGCTTATAAAAAACATCATTTTTTAAATAAAAATTTTGTTGTTTTATTTAATAAAACTCTATTATTTAACACAAAAACATTATTATTTGAAGAATATCTTTTAACCGAATAATATATTATTATTTAGTTACAATAAATAAATAAAACTAATAATTTCTTTATTATATAGAAATGCAATTATATAGAAAAACATAATGCTTTATATTGAAATAACAAATATTGAAAAGCTTTGTTATTTTATTGAAGAAAATCCTGTTATTTATATTTGATGAAAAAACATTATTATTTAAAATAATATTTTTCAAAAGTTTTTTAAAATTTAATAATTTGATTTATTTAATTTGGGTTTTTTTAGAAACTTTTTAATACTTGTTTCTTGTTTGAATTAACTATTATAATATTTCGTTAAAAATCTAAAAATGTAAAAACTATCATAAAACCACTAGTTCACTAATATACATCTTATCAATATTCGTTGCACATGGAATGTAATTGTTTCAATACTTGCTAGTAAAAATATTATAATGTACTAGAAACACTATAAGAAGATGCATTGTATAAGTACAGAATATCATCGGAACATTTTAAAATCGTGTTGCTTGATGATCAAAGTTTAAACAATGCTTTATCGCGGTCAGCTTGGATGGATGGCCGGCCACGGCGTTTAAGATCGAAGTCTATAGAGGAAGGCATTACAAACGTAATATGTATTATACATCGCTTGAATAAAATAATATAATATTGAACCAAAGAGAATATGCTTTCTGATTCAAATAAATTTTTCATTTAAGACGAAGATATACATTCTTTGAAAAGTCTAATAATCATACTTATTGATCGAAACATTAGTTTCTTTGGAACATTCCAATAATCAAATTTGTTTAAATGCAATAAAATTTTTTAAATTCAAAGTAATCTTTTTCTCTGTATGTAATTACGGAACTATTTGGGCCAAACCTGAGTTTATTATCACCCCAACCTTGGGCCACCTTGGGTTTAGCAGCCCAAGCCTCGCCCGAGGCTTTATCATTCCTGACTTCACCCAGGTTTGGGTCAAACCTAATAAGTAAGCTTAGCCGAAGCTTTCTTAGTATTGGTCCAACCCGGGCTTAAAATTAGGCTAATTGTTCATTCTTACCTGGGAGAAACTGGGTGATTTTGAATCGATAAAGTTATCAATGCAATTTAGCGGCATTTTTCTTCAATTAAAAAGTGCAAAAAGACATACCATAAGAAATATGTATATTGTCGACGACAATTATGTATATTAACATTGTTTACATTAATAGGACTCGTTTGTCATCTTACGGAGCGTTTTGTGACATAATGCAATAAAGTGGTAAAAAATTTAAATCATATTAAAATTTTAATTCTTCAAATAATATTTTATAAATAATATTTAAGAACGCAAAACTAAAAGTATCAAATTAATTTGTATAATTAATATTATATTAAATTATTTCTCATACCATGCAAAAAGCGATAAACTAATTCAGTGCGCGTGCAGTTTGTACATAATGTCAGATAACGACTTTCCACTTATAAAGAACTTCGCACAATTGTAAGACAGCATTTGTATCGCATCATTTGTAAAGGCACATAATATACCATGCGGATCTGAAATATCTCGGTGTAAGTTTCTTTTTTCATTACTGTAGCGAATTCGGATCTGTCAAATAAATTACGCTGCACAAAAACCATCGTTCCATTATTAACGTCACCGCCCTCGTAAAAACTCCAGACTGCAATTTACTGTTCTTAAAGCGTAACGCGTGTTATTCTTGTGTCTCACGACGAATATCCATTGAAACTCTCTGCTCTGCTGAAAAATATCTCATGCCATGATACGTGCAAAATTTTGAAATAAAAGTCAAGATAAAATTTTCTAAAAAGCAGTGAGGCTTTTTCGTACGAACAATATCTCACGATAGGGTAAACTCGGGTATTATGGCCATACCGGAAAGACCAATAATTTCTCTAATAATTGCAAAACATTGCGTTTATATAATTAGTCACAAAAATAATCAATATTTATCGTAATGTATATGCGTACATTTTTCGAAAATTATAAATATTATATTATATTTTTATTTCCGACTACCTGTAAAATTTCTCATGTGTCCACTAAAACTTACTGCAACGTCAAATAAATTACAGTTAAGCTATCAACGTTAGATACATAAAGTAGGTATGTAAATTGTAATATAACATGCATTTTTATTTTCGTTTTCATTATTTGTTTATAAGTACTATTATAATCGTGTTTTACTC